CCAGGTATAGGACACTGTGCCCAGCTATACCAAATCAGTACTTTAAAAATATAAAGCCAGATGTGTTGGTACATGTCTGTAATCCGGTGACTTGGGAGGCTGAGGCAGAAGGATCACCAGTTCAAGGCCAACCTCAGCAGTGCAACTTAAATGCTGTCTCAAAAATAAATAAATAAATAAGGTCTAGAGGTGTAGCTCAGTAGTAGAGTGTCCCTGGATTAAAATACCCAGTACAAACAAACAAACAAACAAACAAAGTGTACAGTCATTCTTTGATATCCACAGGGGATTGGTTCCACGACTCCCATTACCAAAATCCTCGGATGCTCAAATCCCTTACATAATATGATATAGTATTTGCATAGAACCTATGAATATTCTGTATACTTTAAGTCATCTCTAGATTACTTATAATATTCAATTCAATGTAAATGCTCTGTAAATACTTGATATACTGTATTGTTTAAGAAATAAACAAGACAAGAAAAAGTCTGTCCATGGTCAGTACAGATGCATCCATTATAGGCCTAACTACATAGTCCAAGATCCACCAGGGGTTGAATCTGTGACGGCAGCATCCAAGGATATGCAGGACCAACTATAACAGAGTTCCCTCTTCTGAAATCAGAATCATCAGGTGGGGCTTGCATCACCCCTAGCAACATTCTGCAGGAGCTAAGGAGCAACAATAGGTTTAATCCAGGGCTTCACACTTCAGTTCTCACAGTCCCTACAGCCTCCAAAACATCAAGATTTTTGGAACATTTCCTACATCTGGCACCTGTAGACCTTGAGTTAGGACTCCAGGAGCAGTCGATGTTAGAATGACAGATGCTCTTGAAGGTTGCTTTGCCTTTTTTTTTTTTTAATTGATGGTGGGGTGGGGGGCTTCCTTTTCTTTCCTAAAGATAATGAAAGAATTTAACAGAAATAGTAAAGCCAGCATTTATAAGTTACCTAAGCTGGTGACACTATAGTGAATAATTTAGTGCAATTAAAAAATTTTTCAACTACATTCAAAGATGATTAATTAAGATTAAAATAAGAAAAACCTAACATGCACACATACACATTTTTAAAAAAATTATTTACATTGTTAAGTATCTCCCTTAAGATTTTCTCTGAACTTAGGTCCCAGAATTAAAGGGCAGATTCCTGACAGTGTGGACCTGATAATGTGGCTGTAGCTCTCCGTCTCCTGCTCTTTCCTTCCTCCCCGACTTCATCTTCCTCTATCCCTCCTTTCTGTTCTGCTAGGGCCTGGGGTGGTTAATGGTGTATGATTCAGAAAGCCTCAAGAAAGTCATCCAGGGTTAAGTGCTGGCAGATTGGCTTGGGCAGGCCTGTGCAGGGCACCCAAGAAGAGGAGGAGGAGGAGGGAGCTGAGTCTTAAACCCACCTCGGGATAGAGGAATGGTCAGGTATCAGCAGATCCCTTCACAACTTTGACTCAGCCTCATTCCCAGGCCAGCTGGGATCTCAAATAACTGGATATGATGGGGCTGAGGCCTGGGACCATCCCCCCACCAGAATTCAAAGAGTCAGTTGGAGAAGAGAAGGGGAAAGATCGAGCTTCACCGTCCTCTCTGTCCCTCAGTCTCCTTTCTCTGTCCCTTTTTGTGTCTTTCCTCTAACTCTGCTGTCTCTCTAGCCCCAGGCCCCTTTCAACAGTTTCTCCCTGCCTTTCTCTGCCATTTCTTCCATTTCTGTGACACTTTTTTTCCTGGGCCTAGTCCAATTATCAATCTTAGAGCCCTACTGACTTCCTCCCCAGTTCCCCACCCTGTTGCTCTTGGAGTCTGTGAGCACCTGGCCTGGTCACTGGCACTCCCTACCTTCACATGTGTTTACACTACCTTTGTTAGCTGACCTGCACCAGGAACCCACATTTGGGGCTATCCTTGCCTTGGGAGGGCTCTGAGGCTGGGACCATTATGGCCAAAGAAGGACCTCCGGTAGGAGTTGCTTTTAACCCACAGCATGTCTCTGGACTCACATGGTGCCTTTTCTTTGTGCTGCTCCTGGAGTCTGGGCCCTGTTCCCCATTCCCACCTGGACCCCAGGTACCTTCCTTTGGGGAGGTGGGGTGAGCTGCTCCTTGCCAGGGATTTGTGACACTAAATTATAGGGCTATATTCACCAAGATCTTCTGAACGTTGCAGTGGGGACACCAGGCTGTGTGCTATTGTGTTTGGGTCCTAAGATACTAAGAGTTGAAATAAAGGTGTACTCTCTTTCATGGTGTGTGGTCCTTTTGGCCTCAAGGGTGATGTGATTGGAACACCCTCACCTCTGGACTGCTTAAACCCTGGCATTGTTACTTGAGTCCTAGGCCAGAGGCCCAATTCTGAGGATCCCAACAAATCATATCTGTCCTTTAGCCCCAAAAAACAAAATGGAAAAAAGTAATGGTGAAAAGCAGGAAAGGAACTTTAATCACTGTATCTGTCCTGGGAAGGCAAAGGGGACCCGTGTTTCCAGCCATGGCCTCAGGGTTACTGACATGAGCTTCCAGATTATATAGACAAGGGGACCAGAAATACACATGGCCAGGCAGTCTTGGTCACACTGTGGTCTGATGGATTATTATCTCAAGATCAGTCAGGTGGACAAAAAGAAAGTTGTTGGCTATAAGAAAGTTGCTGTGTCCTGTGGGGTGATTTGGACTTATGGCAAGGTGTTTATTGATCAGAACTGTTCCTACAGTCCAAGATAACTCAGAGCAAAGAAACGGATACAAAATGGAAGCAAAGATGCAAAATTTTTCATCCTGCTTTTAGTTATTCATTGGATGCAAATGAAGAATCAGTGTTGTTAGCAAAAGCAGCCTCTAAATCCTTGTCACAGCACTGCCAGGGAAGGTTTCAGAATGAGCAAACCCTAGAGATGACTGTGCAGGGGAGGGTAAGCAGGGACTCGCCACCCCAGGCTGTTAGAGGAGTCTATGAGCTCCCCTTCTCAAGGGGTCTTCTCTGAAGGCAGCAGGCAGGGAAGTCTCAGGACTCTCAGGCTCTGAAAGTAGATGACATGGCTTCATCCCTTGACCATAGGCGTAAGATAGGAAGGAAGAAAGAAAAAGGCAGAGCTTGTCTATGACCATGATCCATGACCTATGGAAGCCAGAGTCTGAGATTGAAAGAGCAGGGCCCCCAAATGGAGAAGGTGATGTCTACTGATCTCTGATAGGACCTCACCAACAATCACCCACAACCCCCAGCCCTTCAGAGACAGCTTCTGGTGATTAGAACAGAATAGACCACCCAAAGCCACCCATGAGTGACTAGTCCATAAAATTTCTTGGAGATCCCTGTTTCTATTCCAGGCCTCAAACTTTCAATTGTCCTACTTCAGCCTCCTGAGTAGGATTATATGCATATGCCTCTGTGCCTGGCTCTAGGCCTGATGTTCCTGACATAATGACTTATGATGAATGTCTATCCTGCTGGATGGTGAACTGTCTTTTCCCCTTGCTCAAGACCTGTGGAACTGGGTAGAACTGATTCCTGACTTTCTCAGCCCAACCAAATTATCCCATTCCTTTGGACATGGAAATTGCATCAAGGACCAGCAGATAACCTGGGCTGCAAATGAAGTTCAGTGGTAAGATGTTGCTGGAAATCACGGGAAGCAATTGTCTCTTTTCTCTGGGGTTGCTGAGGGGATGGGACCTTGATGGATCTTGCCGTCACAAAGGCAGAGATCAGAATGGGCAGAGGGAGAAAGATTAAGTCCTGACTGCCACTGTTTGAGCTTCCATACCTGACTGGGCCTGAAGTCAGATCCAGCTGGGAAGTTAATGTGGGCTTTCTGTTCTTTGTAGCCTGAGGTGTCCTGATACTCCCTAAAAGGATCGTGGAA